TTTTTTTTTTTCGTAGAAGGTAGGCTAAATGTCACTCACAGAGGCTTACGATGCGGTGATACATGACTCCTATATCAATTATACCGTCATCTTCCGCGGTGGCCTTGTATTGTGAAGAGCCTGACAAAATGAAGCGTGACACGACCATCAGCACCCGGGGAAAAGAGGCACATCATCTTGCGACTCCCTCAATGAACGTATCCCCGGCATGAACATTGTCAAATACAACCCCATGGACGGTAATGGCATTTGTGAGCACAATGCACCCTTACTTAAATGAGAAGTGATTTGGGTGTTCAACTCGGCAATCTTCACGTCAATGGCTGGTTTTACGACTTCGGTTGTGGCAGATAAGCCAGCTCGTGATTCGAGAGCATTCAGGAATTCACCGGAAAACTATTGGCTATCGTAAAAATAACCGACGACATAGAATATATAACAAGAGAACTGTGCACATAGTTTGACTGAATTGGTACACACTGATCGTGATATTAATGATAAATATTGAATATGTCTTTTATCAAATCTAGTTTTACTTTTTTGATCCCGGAATGACACTGCCTCTCGAAACAGCGAGCGTCGAGTCGCTGTCTCTTTTCACTAATGAGCAGTGTTCATTAGCGGGCTGCGAGACCCGGTCGGCGGGCCACCAGTCCGACTGAGCGGCCTTTGTCGGCACCGGCCTTCCGCCGTCTCGGTCGATGCGTCCGTATGTGGCGAGACAGTTTCACTACCCAGCTCCGTGAGACAGCCGAGAGTTAATGAGAGTTAATTATCCCGCCGGTCAACGGTCGCACTTTCGCCCCAGAAAACCTGCCGGCCGCCGTGTGGTGGCACTCAGAGCTGAGTCTAGTTAACCGAGAACAATGTGAATGTTGAGGACAGAATCAACTGTAATGGCCATGGGCTTATAAAACAGGCGTAGTCAGAAATTATGTTCTAGAAACACGAATGCTTTAAGCCGTTGTTTTAGCAATGTCGGGTATGTTGGGTCAGGCCCCTAATGGAGACAGTGGACCGGGTCGACTACACAGTCCACTGGTGCGGCAAAGCGAGAGCGACTGGATCCAACCCACTCCCTAAAAGCACTCCCTTCGGGACAAGCCATCCTGTGCCACGCACACGGTAGCTCCTCATTGACCAAGGAAGTGTCGAAAGGAAGGTAACATTGAAGTTATCATGGAACACATCTGCTTCAGCATTCATAGCATAACAATATCAACATAAACATGAAGCAATGATGGTTAGCTAAGTCACAAATATCATCGCGGTCACGTTCCTCATTTCCCACGCTAGAATGTGGCTCAGTACACCCGAATTGTCACAAACAGACACGACCAGCATGATGTCACCGCCCACAAAAAGTGCAGCTTCGGTGACATAATAAATTCCTATAAATCTTCTAGTGCCCAGATCTTACACAGAAGTATGTAGTAGAACAAAAATATCGGGCCTCAAGTATGGCATTCTAGCAGCTCCTTATCTTTCATCATGATTTTTCATCTCGCGCTTGCTTGGTTTCTAAGAAGTGCTGAACCAAGTGACGGTTGAACCTTCAGTTTGTGCTCTGCAAGTTTGTGCTCTGCAAGGCCCCGGTCGAAATATGGCCCGACTGGATCAAGGCAATCGAGATGATAAATCAAGCAATACTGCTCAGATGTAACTGATAAGGTCGCGGTAAAAATAAGAATGATTGGCTAAGAAAGAAACCGTGAAGTGCCAGATTTGGGTAACATAAAAGTATGTGTATCGGTGTGCAATTCACTTAGATTAGCCAAGCAAATGTCAGTGTGGGGAGCAAAGCGTGATTATTTCTTTTGAGTGTGCTTAATTTCTGTCAGTTCATAAGAGCAAAACAAAAACTCGTGCGGTATGCCGCTATATGCGATACTTAGCCATAAATGTAATGGTCTAAGCAATGCTGAGAGCCCGAATGATACAGGCCCTAGATTTTGTTCTAAATCAAAACTTGTCAATGCGCCGCTTTGACTTTGTTTGGACTGTAGTTTTGGTTTAATTAAGATCTAGCCTGTCTACAATATCGTGAACGATGCACTGCTGATATTTAATTAAGGGTAGCTTTGGACCCTGTCGCTACTTACTATACGTCCAGACATTTACGTCCAATCCGTCAGAAGGGCTAATTAAATGTGTTATTTTCCTAGATCTTCTTCTTTTGCCGTGTTCCAACTGAAGACGTGAACAAATATTTAAAATGTAGCTCATTTTTCGAGTTTGAGGTTCACGCTGTGAAAGCGTCGATTTTTCAGTGAATGAGAAAACGTTATTTTTAGCCATATTCCAAAGCTGTGATTGATTTGTTTGTTCCATGAGATAACAGTTCATCGTAAATCATCTGTGGCGTCACCACTGAATGCATGTTGTGGGCATTGCTTGCTGAGCAGCGCGGCAGCACTTTTTGTTGCGAATAAACGTCAAGCTGTGCCATTAATAACCTCTAATCCCGTAATTGTTATCACATGTCGGGGAAAGGTAAGTACAAGGATCTGATAGATCTTATATAGCGGAAAATGTGACTGGCGGCGAAAACAATTTGCCCCACCCCTGTGCTACCCTCGTCGGCACGGGTAGGGATGTGACGCAACCCCTTCTGAAGACTATTTACAAATGTAAATAATTATAGGACGCTTGAGCAGGTTGGACCGAGAATACTTCAGTTTTGAAATTGCGCTTTGGAAATATTGCCTGAAAAGCGAGTGAAATAATTTAAATCAATTGAACCAATTTTTAATTTAACCATTTCCTAACTAAAAGCTCTTCATTCGATAAGCCTTCAGAAGAAAAATATGACGGTCGTTTTATCTGGGTTAATACATTTGTATTTTCGTGTGTTCCTTGCTAAAAACCTGTCCTGGTTTTCGGGCCATAAAACTGACCTGGAAGATCACCAGCTGACTTAATGCGAATATATTGCTCATGTGGGCTGCTAAAGAAGCATACATAAACACGGTTTGCATTGCTAGTTCTGCGGAGCCTTAGCTCTGAAGTTTGAAACATGGTTTACGTTTCACGCCAAATAGCACATGAGAACAGCACATGATACCTCCTCGGTTTGTAATCCTGTGATTTCTGCGCCTATGTTGTCCCGAGCTGCGGTCTTTGTGAATGGTCCGCGGTTGTGACTGCAGTTGGCTGTCCTTGACTACGTAAATTGCCGCTGATGATCGCCTGAAAAAGACGTCATTACAGCTCCCGCACGACCTGACCCGATCGGATCCTCGTCTCCACACGCAGTCGTGGGCAGAGGACCGGAGTAGCCGTGACCCGGCGTGCAGTGGACTCCACTCCATCACTCTTTCTTCTGCTGGTCACTGGCAAATCTAGCTAACTAGAACAGTGCAATGAACGAAAAGCTGCTTCACCACTATGTGGCAAAACTCATGGCATTTACATGAATGGAAAAGCTGTTTCATCACGTGAGATGGCTTGCTTACACGACAGACTAACAGGTGAGATACGCGAGATGCAGGCGCTTTTCGTAACGCTCCCGTGCTGGAGAGGTGATCGGTCACGACGGTCGTGCCCTCCCCTCCCTCCCCCCATCCCCACTCGGCTCGGCACGACTCGCGACCGATGCGTCTCGGTACAACTTGGGTGCCCGCTCATTTCACCAGCGCCGAAATCGATGCTATCGCTGCACGACCTAGCTGCAGACGGTCTGACTCGCTCCTGCTTCATCTGACCCGATCTGACCCGGTCTGACCCGACCTCCCCCATCGCCCTGTGATTCACAACCCTGGGCTCTCGTGCAGAATCCGACCGTGACGCACCCGTCTGCCGCGCCTCTGGCCACACCGCACCTCTCGGGTGTGGAGAACAAGCCCCTGACACTGGATCGGTCACGCCGTGTGCGTGCGACACGCCTCGTCTGTTCTCCCAGAGATGTGCACGGTATTAACTCAGCACGGATTGACCACTCACCGGTGATGGTGACGGCCCGTGCCAGACGCGACATCCTGATCAGATCGCCGCTGAAACACAGGAGCAGAACACGTTAGGGTATAACATCTACTAGCTAACTGGCTGGCCAGAGACGTTGCTGATAAATATGAGCTAATAATGACACCTAAAACCAGCCATCCAAATTATTCCCCGGTGAAACTTTGCACTACCGAAATGAGTACTCATTTCAGGAATTAATTTTTGTTCCTGCTGACTAGGACTTCGACCCAGACAAGCTATTCGACCAAGGCCATGCACACAAATACCTCCACTAGAGACACACAATGGACAAGTAGCGACAGATGATGGCGAAAAAGCCACCATCCTTAATAGATACTTTGTCGCACAGACACAACTACACAACACACCTACGCTTCCACCTCCAAACACGAGAACCAGGCCTGTACCCGAACTAAACGAAATAACCGTAACCGAACAAGAGGTACTGTCAGCATTAAATTCTCTCGACCCACACAAATCTACTGGCCCTGATCAACTCCCCACGAAAATATTAAAAATGATAGCAATTCTCATAGCAGAACCATTAGCAAAATTATTTAATGTGTCTCTCAGAACTTCAAAATTTCCTAATCTTTGGAAGGAAGCCAATGTCACACCAATTTTCAAACGTAAAGGATCGGCAGCTGACCCACAGAATTACAGACCCATTAGCCTTCTATGTTGCTGCTCTAAAATTTTAGAAAAAATCATATTCAAACATATTTACGACCACCTCATCGAAAATTCGCTTCTTTCTGACAATCAAAGCGGGTACAGGCCTCACCACAGCACGCAACTACAACTAGCCTACATGACTGACAGCCTCTACAAATCACTGGACAAAGGACAAGACTTTACTGCTGTTTACTTAGACGTGACAAAATATTTCGACAAGATTTGGCATAAAGGCCTTCTGTTCAAGTGCGAAAACGACTTCTCTATCACTGGCTCTCTTCTCGACTGGCTGAAATCATACCTAACTGACCGAAGACAGAAAGTAAGAATAGGGAACTCATACTCAATGACAATGACTTTAAACTCCGGATGCCCGCAAGGCTCAATTTTAGGTCCACTTCTTGCCCTCCTGTACCTTGACGGACTCCCTGGACAACTGAAAAACACCGCCCTATTTTACGCTGACGACATTTCATTATACGCATCATACACACCCGACAACATGACACAAGCACAACTTTCACTTCAAGAAGACCTTAACACAATTGAGCAGTACGCACAGCAATGGGCCATTACTTTTAGTTCATCAAAAACCATAACTCAGACATTCAGCACAAGAAATAACTATACTTCACCTCAACTTCAATTCAATGGGCAACTAATATCAAAAACGGACACTCATAAGCATCTGGGATTAACTCTATCAGAAGACCTGCGTTTCAAGACCCACGTTACCACAATCATTCAAAAAATAAACATCGCCCTCAGCCCCCTCTACCCAATTGCGAAATTCCTTCCACGACAGACACTAAACACCATATACAAGACCTACGTGCGACCATACTTCGACTATTGTGACTGCATTTACGACGGACACATCACTGCACATGACGAATTAAGACTGGAAAGACTACAAAACAGATCCGCTAGACTCGTGACGAACACACTACATCGGACATCCACAGACAAACTTAGAGACGAACTCGGTTGGGACAGTTTGAAGACGAGACGAAAAATCCACAGGCTTTTTCTATACAAAAAGATCATAGACAATACACCTCGCATACCAAACTACATTACAAACATGATCCCAGAGGAGAGAGGGCGCACGGCAGGACGAAATCTCAGAAATCAAAACCACCACACAGTCCCGCGAACTTCAAAATCCTGCTACCAGAGATCCTTAATTCCCAAAACATCCCTGCACTGGAACCAATTGCCTACGCACATACGAAACTGCCAAGAGATGAAAAAATTCAAACAAAGCATTAAACTACTACTCGGCACACCACAGCCCCCACACTACAACGCACTAGGAACTAAGGTTGGGAACACTTTGCACACACAAATCAGACTGGGGATGTCCAAGTTAAACGCACACCAGTACTCTATACAAAAAGTAACAAGCCCCGAGTGCGCCTGTGGCTACACACAAGAAAACACAAAACACTTCATCCTCCACTGCCCACACTACGCACTAACGAGGTCCACACTATTTGCACAAGTATCCACACACCTCAACATTGATTTCAACAACCAATCAGACACCATGAAATTAGACACACTTCTACACGGACACAACACGACAAAGCAAAACGCACCTCAGGTTCTCCTTGCCTTTCAATCCTTCCTCAAAAACACATCCAGACTGATATAGCCCCGTCTCGGTGGACTGGCGCCGGCCCGCTATCACCGTTTATCAATGCAAACTGTCGCGGCAGCCGACCTGACTCTCCGCGGCCCTGGATTGTACCATATTTATTTATTCTGTTTACGTTACCAGGTGGTGGTGCCTCGATTTAAGCATCAGCTTTTGCACCACCACCTGGACTACTTACTTATTTCCATTTTATGTCTAATAAATGTGTTTTGTTGTTGTTGTTTGTTGTTGACTTTGGCGAGGTATATCGAAATTGTCAAGCGGCGTTCAGGCGTTATCATTTTTAAAAACGTTTCCGCCGCCTTTGAATAGACTAACGATGCTAAAACATTTCGGTGGTTTGGGATTGAATAATTCAAACAGGAACATCGAGCGAGAACAATATTTCAACGTTAAACGATGCATTGACCCACGATGACAATAATTTCATAGCATGTGTAGAGAAATTGAGTGAGCATACTTTTCTGACGCTGAACCGGCATATCTGCTTTCCAAAAACTATTGTTCACCCCACAATTCCAAGTGACCCATCTTCTGGAACAGTGGATGCATCTTCCTGGTGACAGTTGGGCGTTGGCGGTGCACTTCAATCTGCCGAGCCTCTGTGCAACCTGTGCAACACGCGTGCACCTTCATATACAATCCGTAACGTACCCATGCACAATGCACATTCCGTGGTGAGGAGGCTCACTTTCGAAAAAAGTGCGGATGCGGCACGTGCGTGCCATTCTGCGCCGCCCCGCTGACCTGTTGTGGGGCACTTAACCGGGCCGCTCGTGCACCGTGGCGCAGCGAGGCATCAGTCAGGGCAGGGGAAAGGCTGCTGCTGTCTGCTACATGATACCGCCTCAATTGCTAAATTAAAATGAAATCGGACTTACTCCACAAGAGTTCGTTGGGTCGAAACAATCAACGACCCAACGAACTCTTGTGGAGTAAGTCCGATTTCATTTTAATTCACAATTTAAATGACTTTTCCCGCCTCGACAATGTTGAAGAAAATCCTTTGAAATCGGAGGCGCCAGATGATAAATAAGGTCATGCAATGCTGAAGCAATGTTGAATATTTATGCACTAGTGCATAAATATTATTTAAACGACTTTGGGTTTATTGACCCCTGGTATAGATTCAGATATGGCCTTATCATAGCTGTATATTGTATAGGTAATGATATTGTTTTATATCACCTTTATAGACCACTGACTTAAATGGATATTGGATGTCTTTGCTGATAGGTATCACAAGAAAATTCGTGCACATCGATCAATAGAAAGTTTTTTTAACATATTGAATTGACCAGTTCTGCCGGTGATGGCATTTAAACAGCCCTACCAATTGCGTATTTTAGCAGGCACGCTTCAAAACTTTGATAATATTTTGTACCGTGCCTTATGCTCCCTGTTATGAGGAAGTGGGTGACAAATGCATCCGCAAACCATATATCTTCTCAAATAAATTAAGGACAGCTGCTTCGTTTAGAGCAAAATGCCGACCAAGGAACAATGGACACTGGACAGTGTCCTACAACAGTCGGGTGACACGAATATAATCATTGACTATTAAGTTATCACCATATCCGAGTCCTATCCGAGTCCTCTGTGATAAGTCAAGTATTTGACCGTGTTTGTATTCATACTTGACACAAGGAGCACACAGAAATGGATGGTTATATGCTGATGGAATTGCGGCTCCTATTCAGCACATGTGTATTAATGTCCCCCCCACCCATAACCCCGGTTTCCCACATTTTCCCCAAGTGTGAGGGGAAGGAAGAGGATGGAAAATTGTATGGTTTTCGTCTTACATTATAAGTTCTTTGTTTTTTCATTTACTAACAATGTTATTCTTCCTTTTGTACCGATCCGCTGCACCTGCACAACTATTTTTCAAAGATGACTTTATTGACGTATCGGCGGGAAAAATCATTTAAATATCTTTTATGCGACCTTTCCTCGTTGAAATGTATGTTATGTCACGCTCGACTTGTTTAAGCACTCGTTTATAAATGAACTCGTTTCACTCGTTCATTTATAAACTCGTGCTTAAACAAGTCGAGCGAGACATAAAATGCATTTAAACGAGGTGAAGGTCGCATAAAGTACTATTCACGTCCACATCATGTCTTTAAATGCCTCAATTGCTCGTATGCAATGGCATTTGACAGTTCAAAGCCCGGAAACACTGAACTATTGTAACACCCGACCTCTGTGATCTGCCCTCATTCTTCTAAGTTCTCACACCAACCAACTTAAGCTTCTCTCTCTTTCACTCTTTCTTTCTTTCTTTCTTTCTTTCTTTCTTTCCTTCTTTCCTTCTTTCCTTCTTTCTTTCTTTCTTTCTTTCTTTCTTTCTTTCTTTCTTTCTTTCTTTCTTTCTTTCTTTCTTTCTTTCTTTCTTTCTTTCTTTCTTTCTTTCTTTCTTTCTTTCTTTCTTTCTTTCTTTCTTTCTTTCTTTCTTTCTGTCTTTCATTCTCTCTCTTTCTCTCTCTCCTTTTCTTACCGGCTCGGTCATGTCCCATATGTTAACAATCAACAAATAGGTCTGAAGTCTGAAAGATTGCGTCAAAAGGCTGCAGCCTTCATATATTCGCTAGATCTCAACTGGAGAGGTCAGTGTAGCTTACTTCGAGTTTACTGGCTTGTTTATCGTCTGACATGCAGGCGCGGTATTAGCGTCAATGTACAGCTGAGCTGCGGTGAATGGGATCGGAACACACGGCCACGGCGCCGGCCTCATAGGCATTTATCATTTATTGTTTGTCACACACTCGAACGCTGCAGGGAGCCGATAACTTTTTCCGAGAATTATTCTGTTCAGCGGATAAAGCTGTTTGTTTCCACACTTTACTCTCGCAGACAGGCAAGGCTGAACACAAACTTTCACTTGCCGCATGCCAACGATTGCGTACCCCAAAAGAGTGGATACTAAAAGTGGGGAATGGCTCACTTCAGCCGGGTAAGCGGACTCGCTAAGCCGTTCGAGTCGAAGCACACTGAGTCTTCGTTATCAGCTTTGCCTCTTTTCGTCGTCACCTGCAGTCAGGCACAAAGTGGCTTGCTGTTGTTGCAACACGGTTGGTGCGACACTCTGTCCGTGATCGCCTTAGTCGGCATTCGTGGCATTATCGCTTACAGTCATGAAGATGGAATAAGCGACGGTGTGCAAACAAGATGTGTGAATAGATAAGTGTTCTTGATTTAAAAATTATTGCTTGATGTTAAAAAAGTAGTGATTTTTTAAATAAATGTAGTATGTACCCAGGCACTGAGGGTCAACACATACTAAAATATATAGTTCGTTTAGTGCTTTATCCATTGGGCGCTAAAGTCAATAAATAGATTGCGTTAATTGATAGGTATTCGTTGCCCATGACAGGTTACAAAATAAGTCATTTAAACATTTCATGTAAAATAATGAAATTATTAAGTGACAAACAAAAGCCATCACAGATAGGTGGTTATCGTCAGATTAGATCAGAAACGATCAGTTGTGGAACCTTTTATGACAAGAAGCATAAACCAGTCAATAATTGACCATTAGTTCTGGCTCTGGCCATGCTCATTGCTCACATTATCAAACGATTCACTACAGAACCAATGATGAAAAAACAAACACCCATTCGACTCGCGTCACTCGCCACTGAAGCCAGTGAATATCGCCGAACATGCCAGAAAGCAGTGTTTAGGAGGGTAGGTTGTCGGTATCACGTCTCTCTACCATGTGGTGAAAGCCCGGCGCGTGTCGGCCGGGTGCACAGCGCGGTCGCGCCGCGACGGAAGCCAGTCATCAGCCGTCGGGGGCGACATTGGCCGACTGCTCCCAATGTGGCCGCCGGCCGGACCAAGGGCGGCGTGATCCGGAGCGACGACCGTCGGCGCGACGGAGGGACAGACAGGTAGAGACAGCGCGAGGAGAGGGAATCGGGGCGCCGTGTGGTACCGGCTGATTGAGTTTGACGGCGCGGAGCGGGTCGGCGTCAGACAGATGTGACGCGGACGACGGGCAGACGGACGACGCACGGACGGCGCACGGATGGACGGCACGGATGGACGGCACGCCTGGGAAACCCTGAGCCAGATGCGCCGTCGTGACGGATCGGGGCGTCGTGGCGTATCAGGGCGTCGTGACAGTTGCGGGCGCTGACCGGAAGGTCTGGGCGCGTCGCCCGATGCCCCATGGGTCGCAGGTTACGCAAAGGAGTCTGAGCCACTTGGGATGCAGCACCGAGGCATCATTTGCATACGCAGCTGGCAGCCCATTAAGGGCGGCGAACGGTGACCGGAATTAGGAGGGCCACCCCTCGGTTTTGTCAACAGAGGGATCTATAGGAAGCGCATTGCTTTATTCTAATGCAGTTGCACCGATACTTCGCACCTTACAGTTAGTGCAAAGCGTATTTGAGAAAATAGCTCAAGATCTTAGCAGATAGGTGAAATATGTGTGATTTGTTTGGTGCACTCTGCTGAAAGTGTCAATTAATCATAGGATGATAAGTTTTTTTTTTTTGTGCTGACTGCTGACCTAAAATGAGCCATCATCTGTCAGTACAATGTCAGCGGCTCAGCTTCTAGAAATAAGCCAATCGACAGTCTGGATCCTAAAAATGTGATTGCTAGTGATTGCACGACAGATTCAATTATGCTGTAGATGTGGATCGCGAGTGGTTTAGATTTACAAGTGTACCTCATTTGGGTCATGACCTGACAATGATTTGACCAGTTGCACTGTTAAGCGGTCACGTTCCTAAATAACTGTCGTTAATGCATGTGTAGTAATTTGAAGCACGTGATACTAATTTACAATAAATTGCAAAAACATGTCAATATTATCGGCAAGAAAACTCATTAGCTCAATTCCTGATGTACGTACCGCATAACGAGCGCAGTTCATTAGTTTCTTGACCCGCGCTTCCACTGAAGGTTGTTGCCGTGCCCACCTCTGAAACCTCGCATTCGTGCTGTCAGCTGCGGGTTGGTCGGCTTTTGGTCGGATGCAG